CCAACAATAAAAATCGGCAATGCAATGCTCCCACTCTCTTTCTCAGTGTATTTACTTGTAAGACTTTGTAAAAAAAAAAAAAACTTGTTTCCACACTTTCCAACCCTGTTTACCCAAATTAAAAGATTACTAAAATCCCTGGTCATGGTGACATTTAGCAGTGCTACAGATGATTTCTTTGAATACAGATCAGATGTGGCATTTGAGCGTACTGACGCTTTTCCTGAAGTTAATCAGCAGACCAAGTCTTTTGACACCAAAGTCAAAACCACTTTTAAAGTCTTTAGAGTATTTTTTTAATATAATTGGATACTTATAAATGTCTCTGAGCTACTTTCAAGAAGCGTCAGTGTACTAGCAAATGAGACATCTGTTGCAAATGTTGAGGCTACGTGACACAGAAGTAACCTACCACAAGAGAGCAGTTCTGACCAGCTGTTCCTGTACAGCACAGAGGACAAAACCTGCAGGCCTACTAAGCAGACCCAGTATTTAACAGTCTTGACCTCTCTGTGTCCCTTTCCTTCTGTACTCTGCTCTCTCGCTTCCTTTCTCTCTTCAGACAATGCTGACTTTGGCTATTCTAAAGAAAATGTTCAGGAATGCATGTTCTTTAGTTTGCCTTTCAGCCGACAGGCCCCAAAGAGCGTTCCCTATGGCACCAATGCTGTTGTGAATGGCTTACGTGTAAAAGTGCAGGTGTGTTAAAATACAGAAATGCACTGTCCGTTACATAACAGTTATAGCTGTAATATTACTAAAGTGTGACCTGTGCAACAAAGGAAGGAATATTTTACCTTTGAAATCTCTCAGAAGAGGTCAAATGAATTGCAATGAGGCAAGCTGAGCGAGGAATATCTGTGAAAGAGCTGGATTGTGAAGCAAGGAGCAAGCAGACCATATTATAGATATTACAGCACTGAACACACTTCTCCATAAATAAAAAACTTTCCACTTTCATAGGCACATTCGTTATAGAAATCAACACATCTGAGCCCTATTTGCATCTTCTTTAATGATCAGTCCTCAGTTCTAAAAATTGTGTAGGATCTTATCAGCCTTATCAGCTGATTAATCCTACCTGGCCTACATGGATGCTTTACATTTTGAAGGGAATAAATAACATGTATACACCTCTGTCACAACATTAATTAGTTTATTAAGTCACCTGCCGGCTTTTTACAGCCCACTGAAGTGCTTATGATAGATTAAAGTTACTGTTGGATAATTAACAGGGGCTGGTATAATGGCCTGATCATCGTCCCTCTGTGTAAAAAGACATAAAAGCACAAACAAATCTGTTACCAAGATTTATGTAGCCTTTTTAAATTTACAGGGACAATAATAGCGAAAGGGCAGCATTACATCACGTTTACACAGCGAGTAATGAGTTGTCATAAATAGACACTCGCAGGGAAGATATTGCATTATCAATGGCAACACTGAGGACCCATTATTTCAACTTTTGTCATTATGGACTGAGGAAAGGACAAAGAGAAAAAAAAACTTCTTTGAACTCTATTGGCTTACAGGAACATAAAGGACAAAGAATTAAATCCTCCTTGACGTTACCTTGGCAGGGGTTAGATGAAAATGGAGGGTCACTAGTGGTGTGGTGTGTGAAGAGGACTCAGCGGGACAGAACACTCAACAAATTACTGAGGAGGGAACTATTTTCCTTAACTGTGTCCCATATCCTTTAAACTCTAATGGAAATCTCTGCTGGGGACTTCACAAAATAGTGAAACAGCTCAAAAAAAGTGATTTTGGCATTCAATACTATTTGAATGCCTGCTATGCAAAAACTGAAATGTATGTTTAGCTAATTAGTTTTGAAAAGTTTCAGTAGTCCCACACTGTTGTCCTGTTGGCATGCTTGCTAATCATATAATGCCGCAATAGTTACATTTGTTCCAGAACATGAAACTAGAGCCTAAAGGATAAAGCTTTGCACACTCTATCATGAACCTTTCTTCTATGGCCACCAGCAGGTTAACATCTTTGAGTTTGTTGTCAAAATATTGTTTGCATGCTAGCATGCTTATCTCAAATTACCACAGTGCCCAAGTTCAACCTCTCAGGGCTGTAACATGGCTGTAGAATCTTAATGCAACTTTGCTGTATTTTGACCACACACCTGCAGCAAAGTTGTGTTATGATGCATGGCATTCTCGTTTCATGAGATGTTTACATTACTTGCATATCATCTAAATGCTCACACAGTAACTATGGGGCTAAAAAAAAAGGAAAGAACTCCGCCTTACAGGCAGAGCTTTTCTTGAAATATGCATAGGTTCTTATTTGCAGAGGCAAGTTTGCTGTCCCCTTGCTTTAACTTCCCCTGAATAAAAAGTAAGACAGAAAAAGATATAAAAGCTTTGTTTCCCATGTAAACTTATATGTTCAGAGGATGAGCTTCTATTTTTAAATTACAAGGGGAAATCTGGGTTGCAAATTTTAAGATGTGTGAAAAATCATATTTCTTTTCTCCTAACATTTGTCATGGAATTATTTACTTGTAATAATTCCATAACAAATGTGAGGAGAAATTCTGTACACATAAGAAATTCAGCATTGTAATATTTTGTACTATAAACCATGTCCTGCTTTACTATGCATTCTCTAGCCACTGTGACAAATTCACCTCAGCATGACTTATTCTCTCACAATTTAGGAAGAGAATTTTATATAATTATAATCTTAAGTGTCTTGTTTTTCTATTTAACACAAAGCTGATGGCAGATAAGCCCTACAGGTCTCATGGCGAGCACTGATGCTTGTGAGCTTCCACTCTCGGTGTAGAAATCAGCCTGTTCATTCATTTCAGTTGTTCCAGCCTATAAATAGGACAGTATCTGCCAGTTGTGTGGTCAGGCAGTATATCCAGCCAGCCTTGAGCTGTCATCTTTAAACGATAAAAGCGTGGGAGGACTGAATAGTTGAGTGTTTCTGTTTGCATGGCGTTTGTGTGACTTCCTCATTAATATATGTTCTAGCAGAGCAAGGACAAAGATAGCCAAATAAAGGCAAACGAGACACCAGAACTACTTGTCTCAAGATGGCAAATTTTCCTCATCACCTCACTGAAATCGTTTGCTCTTCTTTAGCCCTCTCATGTTTATTCAGGTCTTGATTATGATTCTTTCTCCCCCTCCCCTCCCC